GGTTTTGGCCATAGATTTGTTGCTTGAAAAATACTTGCAGATTTGCTTTGAAGTTTAAAGAGAATTGCTATTTTCCAGGTTGAGAAAGACCAGCCTGAGATACAGTTTTAAAAGGCTAGCTGGCTGTTCCGTTCGGGTACCGGAATGCCAATTGACAATAAAAGCTACAAAAGTAAAGACAACCGTGATATTCATATTGACTACTCAGTAACTGCTGTATGGGAAATTATTTTAAAATTGGAAGGTGGCTTGTGGAGCATAAAATCAGGGCAGGCTGGGTTATCAGATGAGCTAACTGACTGTTGTCTTTAGGGGACGGTAGCCTGGCTTCAGTCTCTGTTCTCAAGGATGAATATGCATGAGAATTGACTAGGAAGGCAGAGGAATCTGGGAATTCCTTCTCTTGGATGGTTTTGGAAAGGCGTTAAATTCCTGCTTATCTACTTGTTAATGTTACATTTCATGCAAAATATACCTCTCCAGTAACCCAGTGATGTTACCAGAAAGGTGTCCCTATCCAGACCTCAAGAAAAGGTTTTTGGATCTAGCCCAAGGAAGAATTTGAGGTGAGTCAATAAAGTGAAAGCAAGTTTATTAAGAAAGTAAAGGAATGAAAGAATGGCTGCTCCATAGGCAGAGGAGTGCCAAGGGGTGCTGGTTGCCCATTTTTATGGTTATTTCTTGATTGTATCCCCAAGGTGTGGATTATTCATGCCTACCCTTATTTAGAACATATAAGGTACATCCTGACATTGCCATGGCATTTGTAAAATGTCATGGCCCTGGTGGGAGTGTAGCAGTGAGGAAGACAAAGGACACTCTCATCACCGTCTTGGTTTTTCTAGGTTTTGACCAGCATCTTTACTGCAACCTGTTTTATCAGAAGGTCTTTATGACCTGTTTCTTGTGCCTACCTCCTTATACTGTGACTAAGGATGTCTTAACCTACTGGAAATGCAGCCTAGTAGGTCTCAGCCTTATTTTACCCTGCCATTATTCAAGATGGAGTTGCTCTGGTTCCAACACCTCTGACAATATTTCTTCCTACAGGTTAGATTTAAATTAGCAGGGCCTCGGCTTTAGTTATGCTGTTTTAGTTATCCCCCTTTAAGCTCATAGTCCAGGAATTTTAATGACATTTGAGGATGAGTGGATACTAGAGCAAGTCAGGCAGTTTATACGTTATACTTTTGATTAGGTATTTTATCAGGTAATTTTTCTAACTCGTACACTGTATTTTTCCAAAATTTCTTTGGTAGAATTTGTTCTTTCATATTAGCTGCATCTAGATTTGAAGAATAGAAAGACACATTCAGGATTTTTCACCTAATGCTGGTGTTCAACATCACGTTATAAAATGTTAGGAACAAAGTTACAGGCATCCTAGCTCAAGCAGACGACAAGTCCATGGAGGGAAGAGTAGCCTTCCCGTATAAAATCTGGTCATGTAGGGATGTGTGTGTGTGTGTGTGTTTATTTTTAAAAGTGCATCATGTATTAAACAAACATTTTTTTTTCTATGAAAGTACAGTGGGTTTGACCTCTCATTCTGGTTTTCTCTCCTCGTTCTATAAACAGCATCTCTTTTTATACTAGTCTGTGAACAGGAATTTATTTTCCTTTCTATTCTGGTGGTCGGTAAAATTGGAAGCCTTTGACATTTTCAATACTCATAGAAAGTAAGAAGTCTTGTGGACTTCTCTGGAAGCTGAGGTATTTTGTAAAGAACAGAGGAATCAGATTCAGAAAGGTTGGCACCATTAGATTATTCTGTACTGGGCTGTGTACACTGACTCACTCACTTTCTCTGAGCCCCTGCTTAGTTTAGGAATTTATGAAATGGCCTTCACAATAATACCTATCTTATTTTACTTAATGTGAATGGGCTTTGTTTCTAATAGGATCTTGGGAAGATAAAATTCTTATTCCTAAAATAAATCCAAACTGAATGATGCATTTTAACAATCGCTGGCCTTTTGCAGTGCGTGTATCACTAAGAATATTTGCCTTTTCCAACTTTGCAATCATATGTGCTTGAGTGAAGTAGTCTTTTGGGAATTCAATCTGTCAGAGATAGTCTATTCTGTTATATTCAGATGACCAAAGTACAGGTAAAACTATTGCCAAATATAATTGGAAAGTTAAATTGCAAATTTCAGACTATTATGAAGAATTTATAGAGTTTTCATTATACAAAGGGCTTTTTGTTGGCTTGTTTTATTTTTGATCCTACCATTATGTGTTATAGATCACAATGGCTGAATGAAACAATGTGACAAAGTTTATGATTAAGAATACTAATCTCAGCTGGGCATAATGGCTTATGCCTGTAATCCAGCACTTTGGGACGCGGAGGCAGGCGGATCGCCTGAGGTCAGAAGTTTGAGACGAGCCTCACCAACATGGAGAAACTCGATCTCTACAAAAAATACATAATTAGCCAGGCATGGTGGCACATGCCTGTAATCCCAGTTACTCAGGAGGCTGTGGCAGGAGAATTGCTTGAACCCAAAAGGCAGAGGTTGTGGTGAGCCAAGATCTCACCATTGCACTCAAGCCTGGGCAACAAGAGCGAAACTCCATCTCAAAAACAACAACAACAAAAAACTATTACTCTTTGCCCTGTTGTTTATAGAAATCCTTTATTTTTATATTTGTGGTTAAAACTTGTAGTTCTTTTTTACATTACCAAGGCATTGAAATGTTATTTTCTTTTAAATACATATATAGCATAAGTTTTAAGTCCCAGCTATATCAATATATTGTGCATTATCATCTCCTTTTTTTTTTTTTTTGTGAATTCTGAAAGAAGCAGCATAACATTTTTCTAGGATACCTAATGAGCAAAACCTGGAGTCATAGGAAGGATTTGGAGAATTCCCACTGAAGTGGAGAACTCCCTTTGTATAATAACTGTAATATCACGGTAATTTCTCAAATGGAAATGTTTTAATTTACTGTTTGCTAACCATTGCTGGAGTCATGGTGTCTGCTCAGGGGACAGAAAGGATTAATTTAATTTGATTACTGACTAGTGGTCTTCGAATTCGATTTAATTCTAAATATGAATGTGTCTGATGTTTCTCTTCTTTCTAGGAATATTTCAAGACATGATCTAATTTCATTGTGCTGCCCTGTTTTGTCGAATATGTATTTTTTCAGCGTGTAGTGATTCAATAGAGGCAATCACTTTTGAGAACCTAAAATAAGAAAGGATATGAGATTCATATGAAAAAGGGACTTTTCAAATACCAAGGCCAGTACAAATCAATGCACATGAATAGTAGTCTTTGTGGAAAATAAGACAGCTTGAACATGAGATTTTTATTTATTATGAGTATTACAAATAGAAATGTAATGCAGCTATTCCAAATTATTACCCATTAGTGGAAGATGAATATTAAACATCAATTTGAACTTTTGGAACCCTCAAGTCGTCATTCTAGATAATCAAGTTTTTCAGAAAAAGATATAGCTTTAAATCATAATTTTACAAAAACCAATTTTATATGGAAAATTTTCCGATAATTTTCTGCCTTGTGAATCAGAGCATACTGAATTGGACTTTTTAGTGAGAACTCAGGGTTATTGCTGTGAGTATAAAGTATAGGACCGCATTACTGCCATAGAAGGTAGCAATATGCTGATATCTGAGAAACCCAGGTTTTCCTGCTTTCGAATTTTCCATTGTTATTCTGTTTTGGAAATATCTGTTTTTTAAAAAAAGTGCTAATAATGGCCTTGTATACTTTTTTTTTTTTTTT